AGTTAGTTTGCGTACACTGAAGACACACTTAAAAGAAGCTGGACTGTTCAGACGACGCGACTTCCGGTTCAAGGGTCAAACGGTGCCGTCGTCCAATCAGCGATGTCTCATGTTTCCCACTGGAACCTACCTTTTCCGGTAGGTTAATGTAATTTTGTTTTCCTTAATGTAGTTGCGCTTTTAGATTTGTAGTTGCAGTTTGCACTTCAGGGCCACCGTACATTTACGTTCAATTGATAACGAAACTTTTCATTGGATCACATCAGGTTTTACGGCACTTATGGCAAAGAGCCTGACAGACTGTCTACTGCTAGTACTAGTCTGTGTCATGCTCAAAGGAAGACCGAGACAGAAAAAAAAATAATTTGTGCAAACTGTGCCCACCACAACTTGACAACAAGTCCGTACGTCAGCCATTTCCACTTCAAATTTTAAGCCACACATTGAGTTAATTTCCTTTTGTGTGAACTGAACTTTGAGCTCGTTCTTTTTAATTATGGCCACAACATTGGCCCGTAGATAGGCACTGGCCCCACAGCGACCCTGATGGAGTAATCAGGAGGAGGTGGATGGATTGTTTGCAGAACCTGTAATGCCCATTTGTTAATTGGTTAAATTATGGGAAGCAAATGTTATTTTTCTTGTTTTTTAACAAACTCAGGCTTATCTGGACTTACTCATTGTAACTCAACCTGAAGTGAGTCAGCTTTAATCACTTTATACCAGTGCAGCTTTTATTCTGCAAAGATGGGAATGAACCAGAGAACCTTGTCTCCTCAGTGATAAGTGAAGAGCGGCAGCTGTGAGCAGCGATAAAGAAACCTTCCAGTCCTGCTTTCTTTTTCTCCATCTGCTCTTGTCTGCACTGAGGGCTCTACTGGTTCTTCTTCTTTATCTTCCAGCCTCGGCGCTCTTGTGGGTCTTTCTGTCGCAGCCGTGGTCCTTCTCGCTTTCATCATCACTCTGTGCGTCCTCTGCTATCTGTTTGTCACCACCAAACCCAGAGGTCTGGACAGCGGACTCCCTCTTCGAGCGCCAGGTATTGCCTCCAGGTTGGGGTCAGGGTACGGCCCCTCTTCCTAACACATATAATTTGGTCATTTAGGAGTTCTTTCACTGGTATTCATGTTGTAAACAAGAATTGACAGAAATGTTGCTTTATTTTCCTTAACCTTCAATGAGAATTCACCATTAATATCAAAACTTATATCAGGACATATTTCTTGATTGTGGTCGAGGCGTTATTATTTCGGTATTCATGTAAATGATATAAAAGCATTTAAAAAAAGACTGCCAAGAATGGCTAAAATAAATGTCTATACAAACATGACATCTTAATAAAATTGCTCCAAGATAACATTTTAGAAATATTTGCTTAAAAAAAAACACATTAAACTAAGTAAAACTCAGAATGGTAGTCAGTGACAGATGCTGTAAACGTATATAGAAATATCATTAAATTCATTTCACCATTATTTAAAGATTATGATGCATTATTTAAACGGCTCAATCAAATAAAGTACAATACATTGAACTGACACATCCTATACAGGGTTCCCGCGGGTCCTTAAAAAGTCTTAAAAGTCTTGAATTTAACTTGCCTTATGCTGTAGGAACCCTGCTATAT